TTCAGATTTGTTTCTAGTCAGTCATAAATGACTGACTTAAAACTTCGTACAATTATACGGTGATTTTTGTGACTTCACTTGTTATTCAGACAAAGTGAAAACATTAACGAGATGACAAACAAATGAGTCAAAGCGAAACAACCAGTGGCTAGAAAAACTCAACATAAATCATTTAGATTAATTAACGCATAGTTTGAGAGATTATGAAAACTTAGGATATACAAGAATTCGAAAAATCGCATACACTAGCTCCCTTGTGAATGACCTACGTCGGTTTATGATTCCAATAACCTTCAATAATCTTCACAAGCCATACTGTTTATTCATCATAAAGTCACCGACCAACATGTAAGATTATCTCATAAACTCCAAACAGGAAAGAAGTGCTCATGAACTGAAGCCACTGTCTCCATATAACCATCCTTAGAACTTATCTAATTTATTCGTATACCAATCACTATTAAACTTCGGGTTAGGTGGTGTTTAAGAATAAGTAAATCACTTTCCAGAAAAAAATCATCTCGAATTAATTTACTCTCTCATCAACTTATTTATCACTTGCAGTGAAAATATTTAGTCAGCATTTCTGTCATACATGAGTTGAATGCTTTAAGTCTATCTCTGACCAATTACTGACAACTTCCGTATTTTCGTATTCCTTAGTTAACAGCAATTGAGTAATGTAGACTAAAATTGCAGCCACATTGAATAGTAGTAGTAAAATCAGCTTGTAAATCGGCAAGGATATCAGCTCGTACTAATCATTTTATTGCACTTTAACACAAATAGACACGTTTATTTTCATTTTATATAAATGTAACCAATGAATTTAGAGTAATGTGCAGTTTATGCAGTTCGAAATAATCTACTTTTTTCTAACAGTGTTACGCTCGTCTCTGGGTATGCTTAAAACTTTTACGGGTTCACCTTAGTTGAATAACGAGAACAAAACAATGAACCAGCGTCCACGTAGGCTACTGTGATCCCTCGACCCAATCGTACTAGCAAGAAGTCTTGATATAACGTAGAAAGTGTATTCTACAAACACCCAGCAAGCACACAATCAATCCAAGCACTCAAATTGCGTTTATTTATACTCCGTAGAGACGTCCTTGGGACAGTCACAAAAATAGCACATTAAAATGACAGAGCAACCAATCACGGCCAAGGATTTTCCTGGTGGGAAATGCGATCTCAAGGTCAACTGATCTGTCCATGAAATAAATCCAGAATAAAGATATTTATGAAGCGAGTTCTGGTGATTTAACTTCCCCGACAAACAGCTTTATATATTTCTTGCTTTTTTCTTTCATCTGATCAGTATTCATTGAATTATAAATGTTAATATTAAAATAGTCAAAATATACTTAGCTTGCAAAAATAATGATTAAATTAGATTATATCTTCATTTTTCTTTCTTGCTGCTTACTTTTAACATTATTCATAGTTCTATCAGTTATGGTGCTTCGTTTTTTTCCTTTCACTCACAACAAAATTACTGTTCATAGTTTTATTTAATTATTTTTTATTTCTCATTACAGTAGAAATCGCTGAATTTCATAGTTCACATCATGAATTGATCTCGTATTTGAACAATCAGTGGGAACTAAAAAATACTAGAGAGTTATATTGTAGTGTGCCAATTTGCTGCGTGTTCTTATGCTCGATAATTAGCTTGTCCAAACAATCGTTACCAACTAACGTCTGACGGCTTATAAATCAGAAGGTGAACTCTTAGTGTTGAATACGTTTATTTGGGACACACCACAAAGCGAAGCGGAGAAGCAGAGAATAAAACGAATGAAGCGACGTGAATTGGAGAAGACTGTTGAGCCAACTCCCAGGATTACAATGCGAACGAATGGGCGAAGGAAGCGATGTGGAGAAGGCTAATGAGCCAACTCCAAGAAATAGAGCATGACTAAAAATTTATAGTTAGACAAAAATAAGACAGACATGTGATCAACGAGATAGGCATGCACACACATGAATGAAAGCGAGAAATGGTTGACAAGGTCAAAAGATAAGTGGGACAAGTCACATGAGCTCATACAAACCAGACAATAATAAGAACGAATGGTACATATAAATTGTTGCAATACAAATGGCTTGGTTAAATAAATTAATCGAAAGGGCTTAACTAAATTAAATGTAAGCGAACTCGAATATATGTGGAGGCACTACAATATGAAACATCAGATACGCAGTTGTCAACAAATGACATCAGGTAGTGAGTGATTCTATAATATCAGGAATTGATTAGAGTAATAAATATATAAACTACGGCATACCGAGTCAGTGGTCTAGACGTTAAGGATTCACTGCGAGACCTGACGAGCATCGGTTTGATCTCTGGCTAGCTTGCCCATGGCTGTGCATTGTGAGAAGTCCGTTGCTAGGACGAAACAGCTGTGATATAAACTTTCTTTCTTATTGAAAACAATATAACTGAATAATTCTGTCAGATAACTGTATTTTACTATGTATACGTGTGTATAAATAATGAACTTGAACTCCTTACTATTTACTGTCAAATATTTGGTGATATTCACTAATGGTTATCATTTGTATTTTTCATTTTAAAATGTAAAATTTGTTCAGTTTTTTTCTGTCATAACATAAATCAAACAACAAATGTACATGATAATGTCAGAAATCTTTTTATTTATAAAACTTATATTAAGTATGTTGAAAAAGGAATATTTTTCTTTTCTAAAATAAGTATTTTTTTCAATGCAGAATTATTATCCTAATGAATTATATCTTTTGAGGTTAGAATTTCAATGGAAAAATTATAGAATTTGTAATTTTCAAAAAGACTGTCAAATCTGATAGGAAATTAAATTCATACCAAATTAGATGAATGCTGTTTGTCTTCAACCCCGTCCCCCTTTTTAAAAAAAACAACCCTTACCAACTGTAATGACAAAATGAAGGAAATAGCATTCCAGTTATTGATCGCATACCATTTAAATTACAAGGAATGAAGTACTACAATTCTAAGTAACTGGTAGATACTTTGTTCGGTATGAAATTTCAGCCATTACGATCCTTCAATAATTACTGATTTTTTTTTTGGAGAGAGATTAATAAAATTTATTTTCTAAAAAAAAAATCTATGTTATCCCGACTTGGATTTTCAAATTCTATAATTTGTCAACCATTATAATATAGTGAATTCGCTAACAAGATTTAAATTGTATTCGTAAAAATAGTGGCTAATATTTTACAAAGTAAAATTCTCTTCACTAGGGAATTCATATTTGCCTATAATATTCCCTTTATTGAAATCATTTGTAAGATTAATTATAACTCAAGCAATAGTCATATACTTGATGCAATCAACCGCATGACAATTATATAGTAGTACACAGTTAGATTGTAGACACGCATAAAAAACTGCTTATTGATTCCCAACAATAAATGTTCGCATTAGTTTAAGAATAAAGATTCAATGGAATGTTCATGTTGAAGTAAGCATATTACACAGTACGCTTGTCACTTATAACAATGATGGTTGCCTCATGTTATCTACAATGATGGAAGCGAACACATTTTGTACGCCAGTAGTAATAATTATAGTGAAATTTTTACTTGATATATTCAAAATTTTGGTAAAAAAAAATATGAATACGATTCATAACAATTGATAAACTTGTATTTCAATAAAAATTCCGTATTGATTTTTTGGTTTATTAATAGAAATTTATATATATAGAAATAGTATAAAAGCTGTATGAAAGAACTGTATTACAACTCATAAATTGCTTGGAAAACAAAACATATTACACAATTAGCGAAGCTATAAATAATTCATTGAAATAAATTAGTAATTCATTATTCACTAGTTCAAAAGAACTTAACAATAATGATTCAAGTTTATGAGTTAGTTTTGAAATTTGTAGTAATTACCTCTAACCTTAAAAATTAAAATTAAAATGCCTCCAGCTACAACTAGTGTTCCCTCCTGACTGTAATGATAGTCTAGTCTGTATATCATTATAAGGCGATCTAGTTATATTAGCTAAAATACTTATACTTTGAGATAAGTTGGAAATCGGTAGTTACACAAGGCAAATTGTAACACCAAGTTGTAGTGCCGTTCAACGCAAACAACATTCACGTTTTGTGATAGGGTCTGTCAATTAAAAAGCAACATTTTGTTGAACTAATCAAAGATTGAACTACTACCTTATTATATTCTGTTCAAGTGACACTTGATATTTAGTTTATGTGAACATTTTTAGGAGCACAAAGTGAGTGGTTAAAATACACTCACAAAATAAACAGAAGTGATTCATTATTTGACTATGGATGAAGCTTAAAACGGTTTTCTTGAATGGTACTATAGTGATCGCAATCCAAACCAGTTATTTTTATCACTTTATTAAGGAGACAGCAAAGCTTCAAAAACGTCTAACTCACATTTGAAAATCAATATCTTATTCAATACATAGACTGGGTTCGGTATGTAGCAACAACTAAACTACGTCGCAATTTCAGGAGAAACGTATGCATGAACTTTAAATGCATATGGCATTAAGAAGTAATCAGTAAGAATTCCATTCATCCTAGACGTTTTATATATTCAGCGATTTTGAAATATAACTAACCACACTATGTCATGAATAAATATAACAGGAAATTTAATAGAAATAATGGAAAAGAATTTACAAACAGTAAAATTCATTCTAGATTTAAATTAACAAATGTTAACAAGAACTAAGTACTTTACAGTAGAAGAAATTATCATGAAAAACTGAAAACATCCATACTTTTAAACTCTGTTTCTAGACTTATCGCAAACTGAAGCCCTTTTTATGCCTTAAATCCTTGAAGACCTATAGAAAACACTTGTAGATAAATTCTCAGTTCACTTTCGTGACTAATAGCAGTAGAGAAGATCAAGCCTCAGACATGAAAACCCAAAACATTTCAAACAGTTTTCTTATATAGTTATTATGAACAGTTTAATTCCTAAAAAAAATAGTAGTCGTTAATGACTGGAATTATTTAATTGTGAAATTCCATGTACAAAATGTACATTATTTCGTTTACCTACTTACAAGTAGTTAAATAAAGTTAAACAAGTTTTCTGACAGCCCCGTCCTGACAAAAATGTAAACGTGTGACTGAAAATTTCAGAAACCACCAAATAGATGCAAGATTGTAAAATGTGTCTCAATGAATAAAATGTATATTGGTACTCTGAAAAAAGTCATTTAAAATATTCAAATTGAACATAAGGAATAAAATTCAATCTTTCAATGAATACAAGGATACAATTAATGGATAATGTGGTAAGATGAATTAATTATTCAGTGGTCAATAACATTTTGTTGTAAAAATGTAAAAATATAACCTCATTTCATATTGCTTTAATTATCTCCTAGGTCACCAAAATGATTTTCTGGATCATATGCTGGAATAAAAAAGAGAGAAGAAAATTGAAATTGATATACATTGAAAAACAATTTAATATAATTAGTTATAAAAAGATTTTCAGTGTAAATATTTTATACTTTGAAGAATCAAATGACTATGAGACCTTTCCGATTAAATTTATTTGAAATGAGGTACTTTTACTTGTCCTAAGGTGGTTATTTGTTTTAAGGTCAAATTAACCAACTATTTTGATCAGTAGATGAATGCAACTTTAATATGCATGAATAAATTACCGGAAGTGAAACTGATCAGGAAATATGAAAGTGGACAGTATGAAATAAAAGAAGAAAAGGAAAGTTTCATTTTATTTCATTTATAGCACAGAGTTTTCCGTGGCTTATAGTACATTCAGTCACTAAGCCATAATCAACGTAGGGTTTCATATAATTGTGCAACATTGAGACAAAGTTCTATTCAACATCAACATAGTGCGATGACATAAAATTGTTGACTAGTAGAGAAATAGAATGAATGGTGGAACCATCGGTATCAACAAAGATTAAGTTTATGAAATGATATTGAAAAGGTGAGAAATTACAGAATAACAATGTGAAAATACGTTGAAATTCCAGATTTAAGAAGGGAATAAAAAATGAACGTGTCTGATTTACTGACACTGGTTTTCAGACAAGATAGTTAAGATCTCCAACCATGGAATACGATTCAATTAAGTAGTTTTTTACCTACTACCACAACACAAACAAATAGTTTGGTCGCCCCTAACATTTTATCAACCTACTGATACTCCAGACAGAGTTTCACATCGATATACACTTTGGTCGGTCATATTTAATATGCCTCCTAGTCATCTCAGAACATGAAGGTTCACATCACAAAGATTAACAACTTAAGAAGCTGGTGATATAAATATGTCTTTATTGACGAAACATTTTTCAAAAAAATGTATATACCAAGTTGTTTCTGTAAAGATTTAACACAATTTTATTGTAAACTAAAGCAAGTTGAAGAATCATGAAAAAACTTATGAAGACGGAACAAGTTGCCTGGAAACTTTTCAGCAGTGAACGGTTAGTAAACAAAACGAATAAATCTAATCCACTAAGTCTAGCATTGAGTTGTTGATGTGAAATTTGATAATTAATACTTTTACTCTAAGTCTATTTGTAATGTAAAGAGTGAATTTTATCCATCATCCTTGAGATACAATCAGATTTTTTATTTGGTTAACTATATTAGTAATGACTGGTTACAAGAAGTTATACTCCAGACTAGAAATGTGAATCATTACGATTTCAAATAATAAGGCTTGATGGTATTGTGCATGAGGCAACCATAAACAAAGAATTTCATCAAAGAATAGGCAATACCATCATTTATTTGCAAATTCGATTGCGTTTGGATAGAAGCGTAGACTGGCTGCACTATGAACGCATCTCTAAAATATTCTCTTAAACGCAAACGAGTTTAATCTCTTAAGTATGTATATACTGTACCATAATATTAAGTTCACATGGCCTGTCTTAGCTTTCGAACAAAGTAATTGATTTATTCTCCCCAAGTCATTATTCATTCGTATTTTGACCCTATGAATGATTCACTAATAACTTTGGATGTTTTTATTCCAGCTGTGTCCGAATATCGCTTACCTTACACATTATATGTCTTTAGCTTATTTTCGCCCCGAGTTGACTCATTCACCTTTTCTCATCCTTACGTTTGTCTACAAACGCGAGCGTATGAAATAGTTTCATCCAAATATAAACGCATTGGGCTTCTCATTACCGCCGTCGCACAAACAAGGCTCGCCTAACGATGATGATATGTAAAAATTAAATGAAAGATTTATTTCGTTATTATAATTAATCGTTCGTCTAAAATGGAGTCAGATCCCAAGCTGCTAAAGACGTAATAAAAGAATCTCCTCTAGGCCATCTGTATCCATAAAATCTTCATAAGTAAATTACTCATTTATACGCTGTTTAATTTTCGTCATGTGAGAAAAATTAGTTTACAATTAAATTTACATTACTTACGTTCCACAGAAACTTTCGTTAAAGATTTTTCCGATTTAGTCTTTTTACTATTTGTATCATGACATTTTTCAATGATTTCTTTTAAATTTAAACCAGCCTTTTGTAAAGATGCATTGATTTTCTCGTCAACACGTTTACGAGCTGCAATTTGATTTTGTCTAGTTAACAATAATGGTTTAGATGCAACACGTTGTTGAATTGCATTCAATTCACGTTGATATTCAGCTTGACGTGTTAAATCATTTTGACTAAGATAAATAAATAATAATGAAAAATAATAATAAACAGGCTTCATCAGTTTGTTTATGTTAAATGAAAAGAGAACAGAATCGAGCATGAAAAATGACATGGTACAATACACCAATCATCAAATGAGAAAAAAAAGTGAATTTTACATTAAGACTATGTTTTTTTTGTGAATTTGAAAAATACTCATATCTATTTCACAAATTGATCATCTGTGTTATGATTAGCTAATTTTTTTTCTTGAGATTATTAGAAAAAAAATGCATCGTTGAGAGAAGAGAACCGAATTGTGACAGTGATAGTTAATTATTCAACATGAATAATTTGTTTTAGAAATCTTTGTAATAAGTATTAACCGTAATTAAACAGTTAGCCTAAAAATTGGGTTTTTTTTTCTTTTTATGTGTATATTCTCAATTTGTAAACTTACATACTGATTTACTACCATGAACTATTATAATAAGTTTCATTGTTATAAAATCAATAAACTAACCGTGTATATGCTTACTATCGACTTTTATAGATCAGATATGTAAAACATTTTATTTGTACCACATTGCATAGAGTGATCAATGCAAATCATGATATAGTGCAAAACTAGTCAACTTGCTTTAATTAATTCTGTTTTAAGATTTTAAAGAAAAGAAAATTTTCTTTAATTGATTAATTGAGTGAAAAATACAACACTGGAAGTGTAAAATCGATTGATTGTGAAACAGAACTCATACAAAAACAAAATGGAAATCATTTTAATTGAAAAAACAATAACTTTACTTCCATTGTTTTAAGGAAAAAAATACCAGTAAATCCATTTTGTTAAGTGTTTGTAGAGGTTGTTGTATCTCACAGTCTACATCATCAACCGATCTGAATGAAAAAACCATCGAAAAATAGGGAGCAACTAGACAGCTGTCTTCTCCTAGGAAGAAACTTCTCAACACTACATATCTAGGAACCCATAAGATACCAGAGTCTGAACTTGCAAGTCTCAAAGTGATTCTTCAACTTTCTGTATACTGAGCCAGTAGTATTCGATGATCTACATTTGTAACAACAACCCAATTCGCAATATTGTGAAATTACTCCCGGTGATATTGATAGGTAACCGCCCGTTTAACCAATAAGGCTAAACTCCAGTGATCGTGGCTGCTTACTAGAATTTTAGAAATTATTATTCGTTACTACTGAGTATATGATTATTAATACTACTCATAGTTTGTGAAGCTTGTTAGATTTCATTGCTTAAGTCGTAAATCAATGAAGAATTTAACATAGTAGGACAATGCAACTATCGAATTCTTCCTAATAATTAATGGTTGTCTAATGTATATCAATAAATGATACAGATTATGAAATCCATAGAATATTCTCAGTTGTTGATATAATATCAATTAAAAATCTCAATAAGACTTTAATATTGCTGTTATTATTATTACCAACACTTTGATTTGATTTTGTCTTTCGATTGAGACTATGAATTTTGTTTGAATGTTTAAAACACTTACATTAATTGACGTTTACGTGCTTCAGTAATTGAATTGATAATTTTCTTAGGTGATTTAATTTGTTCACCTAAAGTTTGTTTCATTAAATTGGACACTTCTTTTTGTTTTAATCTTTTTAAATATTCTGTTTCTTTTTTCTTTTTTTCATCTAAATTTGCTTTAGCCAATGAATTTCTAAATGTAACAAAATAAAACACCAGTGGTAATAATAATAATAGTGGTAATAATAATGAAAAGGCTGATTTAACTCTAATGAGACAGTGAAATTTTCACCATCAAGTACGAAAGATGAGAAAAAATTAGCCGAAAAACCTATTATCTTCTTCTTGAATAAATATTATCAAATGATTTTTGGAGGCGATTTAAAATTTATTTGTGAATCAATTGATTTAAGGTCGACGAAAGTACTTCACAAAATAACAAGTTTGATAAAGGGACAACGTATGGTCTGTAAAATGCCTATTTTCAATTTCAAGAAAATTTATTATTATTATTATTATTATTATTGTATCTATTTAAATTTAATTAACAGAATCGGTTTGTGAGGTTAGTTTCGATTTTCACAAACTTTTAATTCACAGAATATGTCAAGAACCTGGATTTTTTGCAGATAAAATTATAACTGCTGATAGTGACCATTACAGTTCGACATCAGTGGTAATCAATCGCAAAGATGTAATACTCATGGATGAACAGAGTTAAAGAGTTCCACACTAGGAAGAAATAGCTGATCAGTGTTTTGTAATGCAGGATGCTTGTTTTAATTGACTCACGACCCTCAAATCGAATTTATTTCCGCAAAACATCAATTTATACTAATTATAAGGAGTTACTAACAAACTACCAGTTCACTTTTACATCAGATGAAATATATGTATGTTAGATCATTTGATAAAATTGAGACTTATTGATAACAACGATCATCATAACTTACCACTACAACTTAGTGGTTAACGAATTTCAGACTCTTAGTGCATACATGACTCAGTTGAACATTTACTGATAAATAAATAGTCTCTGTCATTCTTGCTATAAAAATTATTGTTTCAAGGGTGAATAGTGGGGTTGGAATTCAAATGGTGTTGTTTTCAAACACAATGGATATCAACTTCATAAACAAAATCAGTTCTACACATATTCTCTTACATAATTAATCGTTATCTATTTCTTATTTTTTCACCTACTAAAGAGAAAGTAAATAAGAGAAACTAAAAACTTACTCGATATAATTCGCTCGAAGTATGGTTGATCTTGATAAAGCTGGTGGTATTGATGTGTCTAAAACTAATTTCAAACGATACAATGAAATTAATTAAAAGTGAACAAATAATGTAATAAAAATCACTATTATTATTATTATTATTATTACTGACTTATCATAGCATTTTCGATGAAAACTAAGAGAGACTACTTAAATAACTAAGTAAATAAATAATTGAAATTATTCGATAAAATTTGTTAAAGGAAATTACAAATAACTTTTTATATAAATAAATTTTTCTTATGTTATATTTTAGTAATTAAATAACAATAAATTGTTACAAACTATCAGTTGAATTAAACTCTTCTATTAATTCTGTGAATTGCAATTACTTGGCGATTTATTTCAATAAGAAAAAATTGAATGAACACTGACAATGAAGATTTTTAAATTTATTACAATCCAGAAATCAACACCAGTAATAGAATTATTGCGAAATATGAAGCACTGGACAGCTATTTCACTTTAGAATGTGACTCCTCCTTCACTAATCTATCTGAAATCGAAAGCAAGACCTTCAGATCACGCTGCAAAATGTTAACCTGTAAGACACTGGGCCAGTCAGTATTCAATGGTGTACATTGATAACTTTGATCAATTTTTGATAGTCTGTAGTCATCTCCCAGTACAGTTTGAATGGGTGATTGCCCCACACTCAACATGGTTTAATCCTACAGGTCACTCTGTCTTATTATAACTTCAAAAATTACCTGTGAAAATTAATCGCTATTTGTTTGAATCGAAAATAAGTGTCGACAATCAGTTGATAAAAATTAAACTTCTCGTTTTCACTAGTAACACCGAAAAAAAAATCTAAGAAAACCGTATTTCTGTGATATTTCAAAGTAATTTATAATGTCTACATATAACTACCGAGTATTAGTCATCGCAAACTAATACCGAAGTCATTATTGAGGCCACAAAGGATAACGTAATTAAAAAAAAGCCATTCTAATGATAGCATTAGTGATAATGCCTGATACAGTTTGATTTTGTTGTCTAATTTCCGTCTTAATTGAAACTATTTTTACTCTAGTAGCTTTTTTCATCACAAGGATTGCTTTACAATATTATTATTATTATTATTATTATTTTGCATTGTACAGGTCAATATTTTTGGTAAGCAGTTAGTTGTATCAAGTTGGTTATTTCGTGTTTCAATGATTTCATTATCTATCTTAGTATTATTATTAATTTATTACCTGGATGTTTGACAGTTGAATGAATAGTGTTTTCTTCTTTTTTCATTTCTTCTTTATTCATGTCTATTGATGAATGACGAACAATTGAATTAGCACGTTCACTTGTACGTAAATTAAATGATTTTGGTCTAGTTGGCTCTGGTGGTGGTTTCCATAAACGTCTTAATGCTTTACTAGATTTCCAGTGTAATTTTTTAAAATCTGGAGCTGGATGATAATGATGATATTGTTTTGTTTCGAATTCTGAATTATCTAAATTATCTAAATTAAGTAGAATTTGAAAGTTAAAATTGACAAAGTGTACAGGTTTATTATGAGAAAAGTGTAAAATATTTTGACGAAAAAAATTAACACCTATGTAGCGTTATTTACTTGAAAAGCTGACATCACATATTCAATCTACAAATGATATAAATCAAGTATAAGCGAATGATAAATGGTGACTATATTTAAGCAGTGCTAAATTTCTCAATGCAGTATGGAAAGGAAGGCTTGTCTGTCAGAAGAGAACTTTTTAGTCCCCACAAAAAATATATTTGCACCGTTTATTCGTGTTGTTAGCCTCTTATTGATGTTGGAGAACGGAGAATAGAGTAACAATAAAACACTAAAGAACCAACTAAAACGCGCCGATTACTTTTAATAAATATAGGTTCGCACACAATAATATAATTTCAATAATTAACAGTAAGAATTTACATTATAAACTAAAACGGAATTTTCGGGATATTCCCAGAAATTTTCTTCCTTATTTGCAGCCTATGGATAAGGTATGTTATATCGATATATGTTAGTCGAGATTAATAATACACAGTCAATATTATGGAAATCAGTATAAACTAAGTAAAGCACTTCAATCCCTCAGTTAGAAACTGTTGTTATATTACTAAGTTTCCTAAATGCGATTTCAGATTAAAAAAACTCTGCCCTAATTCCTTCTAAGCTTACTGCAAGCCCCAGGTCCGCATAATTAAAGGAGGCTTGAGCATGCGGTCATAAACCTCACTCCTTAAACAACGTTAGCCGAAAAAATAATCCAAACCATTTAAAATCTACCCTCGGAGTACGAAAGTTATCATTTAGAAGAGTTACGATGCCTCGTCCTGAAAGCCAAATTACTTCGAAACTCACGAGACCGATGCCATTTCTCACAAACAGAGCAATAATTAATATAGGCACATGTGGGTCGTTTACACAATGTGGGATACTGGAAGAACTATTCATATTGCTGTGGAAACAAAGAGATACAAGCTGCTGGTGTTTGGAATAAGTGAAACCCAATGGACGCAAGCTGGACAAAAAAGATTAACTTCAGGAGAGACGCTGTTGTACTCCAAAAATGAAGAAGAAAATGGCTCGCAGACAAAGAGTTGCATTGATGCTGTATAAAGAAGCACAAAATGCACTTAAGTGATGGGAATCTCATGAACCCATGATCATTAAGGCAACTATGAAGACAAAGACAGAGGGGATTATGCCGAATATCATTCAGTGCCATTCGCCCACCAACGATAACAATAAAGACGAGAAAGATCAATTTTATTAGGGGATACAGTCAATAATAGAGAAATGACCAGCAAAGGAACTGGTCATTCTGATGAAAGACCTAAACACCAAGGTTGTGAAGGACAACACCGGAAATGAAAACACTGTTCAATGACATGAACTGGGATAAAGTAACGAGAATGGTGGGAAGTTTGAAAATCTATATGCCTTCAACAAAATGATTGTAGCTGCACCATATTCCCACACAAACTCACATGAGTTTGACCGGACCACACTGCAGAGAACCAAATCGATCACGTTTACATCAATAAAATTTTCAGAAGCACTCTGGAAGACGTAAAAACAAAGAGAGGAACTGACATAACTTCAGATCACCATCTGGTAGTTGCCCAGATGAAACCAAAGCTAAAGAAGCACTGGACCACTGAGTACTGAACACTATAGGGGTTAAATACAGAATTTCTTCGGGAAACTGGCAAATTTAACAAATTCGAGATGACTCTCAGCAACGGATTCCAAGTCTTTCACGATCTACTTGATGGAGAGGAAACTACCATGGAGAACGAATGAAAAGGGGTGAAAAAAACAACACTCTCATCATCTCTTGGTGGCCAACTGGGTTATGAAAGCCTAAACATCTCGATGGAAGCAAGGGATACAATGGACAGCTTGAATGCAATTAGACAATTCGGAATTTGCTAATGACCTAGCCCTTATATCCCATACGCAACAACAAATGCAAGAGAAGACGACCAATGTAGAAGCAGCCCGAGCGGGGGTAAGCCTCACCATACACAAGGGAAAACATAAGACTTCTCAGTACAACGCAACATGCACCAACCAAATCACACTTGACCGAGAAGCATTGGGAGATGTAGAAACCTTTACATACCTGGTTAGCATCACTGACCAACAAGGCGGAACTGATGCCTATGTAAAGAAACGGATCGGCAAAGCAAGGACAGTAGCTCTACAGTTGAAGAACATCTGGAACTAAAAACAACTATCACATAACACAAAAGTCAGAAGTTTCGATAAGAACGTCGAAACCGTTCTATTGGACGGGGTGGAAACTTAGAGAACTATGAAAGCCATCGTCCACAAGTTACAGGTATTGATAAACAATTGTCTACGCAAGATACTCCAGATCCGTTGGTCATACATCATCAGCAACAACCTACTGTGGGAGATAAGAAACCAGATCTTGGCTGAGGAAGAAATTCGAATATTGCTGGAGGTAGATAGGACACACATTGAGGGAAATACCCAAATGAGCCACAAACAAGCCCTGTCTGTTATGGTGTTCACAGTCAACCTCGACTCAAGCCACTACAGATTATGTACTTCATTTTAAAAGTAATTTTCATTTAGTGTTAATCTCGTTTATTTATAGGCATCATTGACTTGATAACTTCAAATAAATTGGGTGGATTGTTAATAATAAAAATAATATATTTTTAGTATCTCAATGATTTGAAAAATCGAAATTTATTCCTTTATTTATTATTTGAAGAAGTAGCTTACACTAATTCATGAAACGTCGGAAAAATTTTAACCCGTTTATTCGGTTTTAATTGCATTTTATTGTACTTATTAAAACTCTGTAATTTTGCGACCATATAGACAATCGTTCAGCTTAACAATTTTTGGGACGATCAATCAGTGGATTTTTTCTGAGGTCATTACCAAATAAATCAAACTAGTATGAAGCGTGTTTAATAATTGTTGGAGCTCAGAGGGAAGGAAGCTGTAGTATTATGATTCAAAGTGTAATTAAGATTATCACTAGTATAGAAAAATAAAGTTTAATCTATTTAAAGTACCATCTTTGTCTGACATTCGCAGTCAATATGAGCAAACTACTCTTGTCGAAATGGCCAAAAAACAATATTTATTGATCCTTTTGTGAATTATACTTTTATCCTTGATCATTCACATTTTCTGACTGACAAGTTTTGTATGGTTATCCTTGTTTTGGTTGACTATTAAGTACAGAAAAACAACTTTAGTTCTCCGAAACAGTTGGTTAATGGTTCTATTCTTTAAGATTTAGTCAGCTGTGAATTGTAGATCGATTCTGTGAGCAACTCATAAAATCAGCCATCTTTACCATTATAGTATTATGTCATATCTATAAATTCATCCTAACAAGTACTTTTTTAATTCAAGTAAGTAACAATCCGTTTATTTAATAACTAATGAATTTTCTTTCATGTTATGAAGCATTTATCGACATCATCGAACAGTATAACCTATCGACTGACATTAATCCAATTTCGGAAAAATAAAAATTATAAGCTTCATAGTGGAGTTTTTAAAAAAAATGCCATTGGAATCAGTACTTGGACAATTAAAATTCCAGTATGAATAAATCTAAGTAACAGAAATCCTCTGACAGTATTACTTAAGAACAATCATTCTTATGCGACGTCCCAATATCCAATATCTTTTACATGAGCTCGTTCCTTGTTGTTTCGGTAGGATTCCAGGTATTTGGTATTTGGATCTGTCTGTTAGCGCGATTGTCGAATTTACTGGAAATAACCAAGGTGGCCATTTAATTGACAAGCTAATCTGATATGCATTATAAAAAATCTTATTTTTGTGCAAACGATAACTAAGAATGTTAAAAATAATACTGGAAGTCGTATATTAACAAATAAATCTCATAAACTTACTAATTTGATGAAGTTTTCTGTCTCTAGCCTTTCTTTCTTGCATCCGTATATTCATACGATGTTGTCGCTCCTCCATACCTGGTGGTAAAGAAGCTGATTGTAGTAGTCTTTGAGCTCGTAAATGACGTCTGATTTGTTTTAACAGCAAATCCTCTTGCATACGCTCAAATCTTTTTTCATATAACTGTGATGGTAAGTCTAGAGGATCTGAACGTCCATCATCTTTAGAAGGCACAGCTTTTTTGTCAGCGCTAAAGATCATATCTTGTTTCATTTTCTCCCGACTGAAACTAAAATAGCGAATAAGAATTTTGGTGGATAAGGAGTTTAAGAAATAGTATTTTGTTCGTACTTGATTAGCTTGTTATTTGATATAATCTTTCACTTCCATTAACAAATAATCACTCAATAATATTGAGTCACTTGATATAATACCCGAAATTCAACTACTTTACAGAAACAGTAATTATAATCCAAATACCGGATATGTGAAAATAAGAGTCTACTAAAAAGATATAAACTTTATTGACAAAGTATTTTTTGTGTTGAGTGTTTTAATTATCCAGCTTCTATTCTCCTATTAAAAGAGCATCATCATCTCAAATTCTACAATGTCTATGAAGTAATATATTTACCAAACTGAGTGTGTTGGCTTTCAGCATCTACATAGATCTAGAATTCCATTTAGATTTTTTTTAACTAAGCAATCTAAAAATGATAGGTTTCTACATTATTTTTCATTCTCGTAAGTGAACTTAATGTAGACTGAGAGCTCATTGATCGATTTGGAGAAAGGATTTTAAGTGAAAAATACCGGGATTAATCATCTCAAAGAATGAAACCATAGTAAGCAATGATGTTGCGTCCTTATACACTAGTATTCCTATCGATAGATGCCTAGATTTTATTAGTGGTTTACAAGAGAATGATCATATTCTGCCTCATAGATGTCCTTGCTTTTTTCGTTTGCATAAACATATCCCAGGACCTATGTACAAATTACACATTACCACCTTTGGACTCTAGCAATATCAAAGGGATAAGTTGTTTGGTTATGTATTCAAGGTTAGAAAACTTAGGTTGTTTTAGGTTCCTTCTCCTGTTTCATATCATGCTTCTAAAATGATGCGTATGAACAGAGAAATAAAGAAATATCAATCAAAACAGTTGGAGATTATGAATTTTTCGCTATTAAAACCCAAAAATACCACCTACTATCAAATCCAACTTAAAACAGAAAACCTTGATTCGAAAGAAAATATTTCACATAGATAAACTCCTGTACTACTTACTCGTTCTGCTCCTTTTTAAGATTTTCCCGTATAGTAAAATTAAACGGCTTTTCAGTTGATTTTAAAATTTCTTTACGGTACGCCCTGATAGCTTCACGTCTACGAGCATTTTCTTCCATTAATTTCCCATATAGTGGCAAATAAACGTGTGAGGGTATTGGTGTGGCTTTGAATGGTTTACCAAAGTGTAGATTAACATCATCCTGAACAGTACCGGGCTGTGAGAATTTGTTTTCACTTTGTAGACTTTTGGCACGTTTTAAAGATTCCTCTCGCTTTGTCATTTCAAATGGTTCCGGTACAGTAATATGGTGCCTCCAAGATGTGACTGATGGGCCGTCCTCATGAACAGTATCTTTTTTGTAATTGTTGTCACTAGTTGTTTTGTTTTCATCCATTTCTAACACAAAATAAATTAAGATTAGATTTAAAGCAAGAAAGACAACAGAGGCTTATACAATATGTAGTATGCAAGATGTGATTTATGTGTCACGCGACAGGCCGATTTTGAAGCAAGAAAACCACAATACATACTTCACGATACGATTCTGTATCAAACAGCCACAATACCAAAAAGTCAGTTTTGTCTCATTGAGATTAAATCACCTGCTTCTTTTTTTGAATTTTTGAGTAAAAAATTAGGTTTATTATTTAAATGGTAGTCAGATACGGCACAGATTCTTTATTTAGTAATGGGTCCCCAAATCTTACCATCCAAATATTAAAAGTCACTACGCAAATGATAAAGCCCTTTCCCAGGCTCAAGTCCCCAGGAATTGGAAGGATGCAATAATTGCCCATATATTTGAGTATTGCAAGAGATGGATCGTGTCTTACTACGGACTTTTCAGTCTGACCAGGATGGCAGTTAAGCTACTTGAAAAAGAATGCAACCAAAGCTACTATGTCATGTAAAATTATACAATTTTTCGAGTTCTGAACAGTATGGGTTTCAAAATAACCACTCGTGCCTTACTAACTAATTGGGAGAGAGGTTTGGAGAGAAGCTCAAGATAACGGGTTGTCTGTCGATGTAATAGTCATCGGTTCCACAAAGCATTTGATAAGGTTTTACCCTTATAGCTTTCAAAGGAGCTCTCGATTGAATAAAAAACTCTTCAGGATTGAAAAAAGAGGGTCAGCGTACGTGGAATACTAACGAATAGAAACCATTAAGAAGTGGTGTAGCACAAGGCGGTCACCTGCTATTTCTTCTCTAAGTCAATGGATTACAGAAACTGTTTACAGTTATTTTCAGACGATTTCAAAATTTCCGGAACAATAAATACTGAGGCTTATCATCTTGATTCCCAGACTGACGTGGACGAATTAATTATATGGTCCCATAAATGAGGATTAGAAATTAGTTTTATAAAGGGTGTTTTAATGAACATCGGACACGGCAATATTACTAATATACTTCCAATGGTACGTTGCTACCACGTCTGCAGGAACAAAAAGACTTCAAAGTAACAAGAAGTTATGGTCTAAAAACAACTGCGATAGTTGCCAAAGGTTTTCGATCATTACAGTTACTCCGCCGAGCTAACGAATGCCTTCGCGTTTTATATCTTATTTATGTAAGACCTAACCTAGAGTACTGCAGCTAAGCAGCTGTTCCATGTCTGACTAAGGATACTATCGTACCTGAGGGTGTCTAGCCTGTGGGAACCATAAGTCTTCTCGAACCACTTAAAACGTCTAGACCTTTTACCCTTACCTTATTGCAGAAAAAGAGGTGATTTTATTTAGCCAATTCGGATCTTGAATAACGATTCGGATGTTAACATGTTTTATATTTTAGCTCCCTCCTGAACTGATCATCTGCCAGACCAATGCGAGAAGGTTCAAAGATTATGATCAAATAAACTGAGAGTGTGATACTTTCTTTTACACCAGCACGATCAGTGAATAGTTTCTAGGAGCTGGATCTTCACTGGAAAATAATCTGCAAGAATTAAAATGAACTGCCCGACCCATGGCCCTTATTACTGAAAGTGAACTGAAACTGGTTGAAATTTGTGATAATTTTACATCAAAAACCTTAATTCAGTCGATTTACACGTTATTTAATTTTAGAAAACTAAATATTCGGATCAACTTCCCATAAAGCCAAGAAACTGATGGTCCGATAAACGTAGAAAAGGGTCTTCTTCTGGCCATTAGGTACAATATTTATGTAAATATAACGAACATTTCGTTAGTTTATTCTCTGCTCAAAATACTTTCCATACATATAATTGCATCGACACTATATGATCAACTCAGACAAAAACCCGGAAGTCTGTTAGCAGTATCAAAATCCAGAAGTAGCTTGTTTATGTTTCAGTACATCATAACAACATCACCGAAAAGTCTTAGAAATATTTTAGGTGAATTAGTTATAGTTAATATAAAGTGCACAACTAACGATACTCACTACTGTTTGAACATCCACATTCTGTTCTCTGTGTCCTCAAAGTATCGCACTCTCCCGTTTCGTAAAGTTCAAAATCACTTCCAATATGCTTATATTTAGGTTCTTCTTGACACAAGTGTCTGATTTGATTACAGTCGCAGCATACAGTTTCGGGGCTATTTAACTGACTAAGTACTAGAAAAGTAAGATAATGCATCTACTTGCTCAGGCTATCTTTTGAAACGTCTCTTTCATTAAGTTCGTGCAAACAATCACCGCGGTTTTGCTTCGGATCAGATTTACCAGAAGTCGAATAAAGACTGCCAATTATGTCAACAGTATCTCTGTGCTCATTTTTCAGTTTCATTAGTTCGACATAAAAATCTTCATCGCTCATATTCCCATCCGAAAGAATTTTTATTTTCCTTTCGGTCTCGTTTAAAAGCGTATCCAAATACGATGCTGTTTTCGCTAAGTCTCCATTTGTCATAGAAAGTATGTTAGCAAGTATACACTTCGCATTACTGCTGAGTTCTCTGAATGTTGTGCTTTCTTTAACAAAACCATCAACGATAGATATGTTATAGCGAGCTAAACTTCCAGTCATCAAAAAATGTTAGATATATCGCCGGGGTAAACAAACTTATAAAAGGCGCTACATGAAGAGATACATACTGACTAACTAAAACCAATCCAATATCCAATATTTTTTCACTGTCAAGTATAAACTGATTGATTTTTTTGCACTCGATTCTTGTTCTCACGGTACAGTTCCAAGTATTTGATATGGATGCATTTGTTTCATGGCAGTATATTTTCTGGATACCAGCAACTATCACATTATCAGACAGGAGATCAGCTAGTTGTAATATGGAGAATGACGAGGAGAAACTTTTAATGCTGATAAGAGTAAGATTTCAAGCCTAAGTAAATAACGGATAGTTTACTTTATTGACTGGTAGTGAAAATAGTGCGAGAAGACCGAAGTGTAAGCAAGGGAGAGGAATTGGAGATAATAGACGAGATAGATTAAGTTAGTGATCTGAGGAGATGGCAATAATAACGACTAGCAAGTCTCAAGATGTTTATCCGTTACAGCTTGTCTGCGTGGCGGATGATAATCCGTATGTGGGTACGTGTTTATCAAGTCTCTTGTTAAAGCTGTCCACTGAGGTGGGGCTGTGGTCATCTCTTGGAGAGCATTCCAAGTTGCAACGACTCGCAATGAGAAAAAGTGTGCACGAACCTGAGTATTCACTCTTTGAGTGCAGCAAACAATACAAAAGATACAGCCAACTGTCTCAATGACTTATTTGTCCATAAATTCGCTGTGCGACATCAACTTATTGAGGAATATTAGAAGCTACAATCATCATAAATTCTAACCATGAATTTGTTATATAACCAAATTCAATTAATCCCACTTAAGTCTAGCGAGTATGAAGATAATCTTTCAGTCTTCATGGCAGTCCATTTGGACAAATCGTTATCTGTGGTGAATTCATCACCTGTAAAGCCACCTAAAGTACACAGCAGCCTCAAGCAGAAGACACATTCGCACCCCACAAAAAACGTTTGATCGATAACCTTTCATTTCCTATGAGGTTGTGATATCTGATGAATCAATGTAGATGAAGCATGTCTTGATGCCATTCTGCTTACTACAGATTACTAAGATTTTCTCACGACGTCAAGTGATTCCAGGCCAATTTAACACTTTACTATCTGACCAGTCTATCTGCCTAACTTACTTGATTACAACCTTTGACGTGATCTACGCATTCCATTAACCTGACACTTTTGTTGTGCCACATAAATAGCTTTGGAAACTTATTTCAGCAGTTTGGCGCATACGAGTAAGGGATATATTTGAAATTCATGTAAATTTCTGTCGTTAATTGCACAACACTTATTACTCGATTACGAAAATTAAGTAGCTTGATGCCACTGCCCAGGTAGCACTCACGACATACTATTACAAGAAATTATGGGTACTCAAAGGCTTGATAACATAAATGCTAGCTCTGAGGGACTGAAACGGTCACAAACAACAGTGGCAGAAATGAAACGTGTATTAAGAAACATTTCAATCTCCAGCTGAAAAGTTTGGTGCTAAAACCGGCAGTAATCGCATCGTTAACATAGTACAGCATTATGGGAGAACAGTTTAAGACGTTGAATTCACTTTTGACAACAAAGATATGGGAACCTGCGATATTATCAGCTCACCACATTTCTCAGTGGCGGAAAAACGACGTAGCATTTAATCCATTTCACATAAGCTAATAGGAACAATAAAAGTTTGGCTGAAATAAGCCATTTTAGGTTATTTCTAGCAACAGTAACTCCAGCAAAACTGGAAACCAAACGAAACGAAATGTGATGCCGGAAATGACGCACACTTCAACGTTGACACACAGGTTTTACTGGTCGCCAAGAAGAATGGTGGGATAGTGTCATACAACCTCACACTTCTTATAGATACTGAGTAATATGTTTTTTGAATTCCCAGTCTGCGAAATAATGCTTTTTCCTCAAGAGTGGAAATATATAGACTTTATTCTTCATTTTGCAGATATTTAAAAGAATATCGGATGAGATACTAACCTCTCCGTTTTACTGATGGCAGTTTACATGTACTAATATTACTGCAGATGCCATAAGTTAGTTCCAGCAAGCGTACAAACAAACCCTGCGTACGTTTGAACAAGTAGAGGAAAATCACATATGTATGTGTTTTAATGTTGGATGATACAAAAAATCCACACAAAACATGGCGATCTTAGCAATAACGGTTCCCATCGTTGTCGAATTGGTGTCTGAATTGCCCTTCAATATGACTATCAAGAACAATCATGGTGATTTACTTATTTATCGCCAAAACCTATCCCAAGGTGTTGAATATCAGCTGTTTATCTGGAAATACTTTCATGCGGCTTTGGTCTTATAGCTCCTACCATGAATGACCTTGAAAGGCTATGTTCTCGACGACTTTGTTCCTTCCATCTTAACTTTGTGCTGGCTTCTAGTGAGGTGTAGCTCACACATCCCCTTGATCTGTTTTCAAGTTCTGACTCACCTAACCACTCCTAAATAAGCAAAAAGTATTTAGTTCGAGAGATATGAAAAGCTAACTCCATAATACTCGTATTCACTCAGATACCACCACAGCTTTATTTGCCCCATTTTGGGTGACGATTACATATTGTCTCCTCCGCTCTGAACCTTCTGAATTTTTTAGCCATACATATGCGGTCGATGTGTAGTTCATTTATGTGTATGTAGCGATATTTATTTAGTTCTGGAGTTTAAAGCTGCTACCTGTGACCATGTTGTTGAAAATGCGTAGAACACTGTCAAGACTAAGGCATCTCAAACCTTCCATAAACTCTAGTTGAACGTTAGACTCTCGTCCTTGCGACAAATAAACTTAGGAGACATTTGTAGGAATTAACACAGTTTTAACAATAAAGATTATGAATAGGAGCCGTACAAAATTCCCAAATTGCTAAAACTACTTAGCTACAGAGCCTCTGTATTTACTCAACAAAAGGTCACGCAAGCAAAGCATAGAGACTAAACTTAGTTAGGTGAGTCGCCAGTGAACAGAAGGGAATTTTTGAGGAAAATGGATATCCCTAACAAACTAGGGGAGTATTTCAACTGAACAAGGATCAGAAACCTATTTTACCGTGAAACAAACTACGAAAAATTTTTTATAAGCCTTGTGGCATAAACATCAAAAATTAATCATTAGAGAATATGTATGGATTGTCTTTTCATCCGGAACCGTACCGAAAGAACAACGAGCGCAAAGAAATCAATCGGTTTATACTAGCTTGGGAAAAAGATATTGGCTATTAAAAACCAGATCTAAAAATTTACGAAGATTATAATACCGTATACGGTAACTCAGTGCTGTAAGTTAAAGTGTTGACAACTCGAAGCCGAAGAAGCAACATGATAGCTGCCCAACCTAAAAGTTGAGTAAAACTAAACTCAGTTATTCTAACCCTACGATAAACGTAATGTACTAAAAAAACCAAGAGTAACAGTTTCATTTTAAGCCAAAAATCAAACTGAACATTTCAGTAAAGGAATTGAGAACATCACCTTCACTTGTAAGGATGAAAAAGGTTAATTGCTACAAATAACGTCTTCAAGGATATATTTTCACAAACAAACACTCACGCGCATGCAAAGGACCTTATAAATAGATCTATCAATCTTTTTCATCCTCGAATTCTGTGCCTCTTCATGACGCCTTGATTCCAGTGGCTTACAAATAGACGTTGGTGTTCACCCTATAACTAGGGTGGCCAAGTCTTTGCCTAGGCATTCTGTACTATAGACTGTAGCCTCTTATGGAACTGGTTTTTATCATTTTCACCTTCCTCGCTAGTTAATAATTAGAAGCAGATATTGTTCTTCTTTCAGTTTTTGCTCCAAAACATGCTCCGATGATGACAAAGCCATAAGATTTCAACCCCGATGAAAGCTTTACGTGCTGATTTAAGTAGTATCAACGAAACTCCTTAAGGATCGAGAACTTTCTTCTCCGTAACCAGAGTATAACAACATCTCTCCCAAAGTTAGTCTTTTCTGTCTAACCTGTATCTAATGGGTTCTGTCTTCTCATTTCTGCTGCTATTTGAATGATTATTCCAGCATCACACAATATTCTGACATCCCCCCTACTTATATGAATTGTTATCTTGGTTGTCGGGAGGGGCATTCGCCACATACATTCTGGGGAATGCTGGTTTTCACCTCGAGGCATGTCCACTTTTCTACAGGAATATGCTACAATTCCCATGAATGTGCTTAAATGGTCTGGATCATTCATTCCCATTATTGTTTCTTTATTGAGGATTTTCACGGTGTTGGGTAGCTAACCCATCCCCCACCCTCTTCTTTTCCCGAGCTTGAGAACAAAAGTAACCCTAAAACGGATCAAGGTGGAGTTGATGTCTACTATAATGACAGAAAAATTGGTCTAAGAGGATTGAGTAATCTTCTATATGGAATCGAAAAATCATAACAAGAGCAAATCAGTAGTTTTACTGGTGTGCGAGAGCATATGAGGTGGTAGGATGCAAAAAAGCCGCAATAACGTCAATGTTGAAAAGTATTAATCCTGAATGTTTAAGATAAAAAAGAGACCACTTATATCGAAAACGCAGTCGTTTAAATGGTTAGTTAGATGATTTAAAGTATTCCTAACATTCCTGCGGACATCCACCTCACATCTTTTCTATTTTAATACCACTAAGTTAATCTAACAAAATCAACGTTCAATTGAACATATCCTTTTTAATTAACCTAGCTAATTCACGATATAATAGACTGTATGTTTATAAATTTTATATGCATTCTCCAATTATACCAATCTTGTAGGTCTTATGATGTTTTTATTACTATCACAATTAACTCATAATCATATATTCGATTCTGATACAGTTGATGTTCTTTTCTATTTGTTGTATATTGTATTTTGCCTGAACCGTTTAAAGGTTTCTGAAGTTACGATAATTGATTTCAAACACATCTAGTATTCTTATAAATTCATATTTATTTATCTTGATAAGTCACCTACATATACATCATTAAATCAAATAAACTTTCTTTCATCAATACAATGTGTCTATCCAGCTGCTTATATCCCA